ATTTGCAAAAGATAATTCCTCTTTGTTCGATAGGTCTAAATCTGTAATGTCATTTTCATAAACTGATTATCAAGCTACTGTAAGTGTTCGTGTTCTGGTTTCTGCTCTTTTGACGTCGACGAACTTCCTTCGGCTGAGCCACGGGGCTGACCAATAATTTCCCCTTATAACGTCCAAGATCTTCTTATCTCTTTTAGATAGCTTGAAATTGATCATATTTGTTAGCCCAGATTAGTTCCTTCTAATCAAGGGTGCTTTGTCAACACTTCATAATAGCTCTTTCAATCATTTTTTTCCTAAACCACCATAATTATTCTCCCTGACATGTTCCTCCATTCATTCTATTCGTGCAGAAATTCTTTATTCTGTAAATGTTTGCTGAAGTCGATAGATTGCCCCGGATCTGTTTCGAGCCAATGCATTTGTCAAATAATGCTGTGGTGCGCTTTTTCTTCGTCTTCTTGCATTTCTAAGCCTCCAGAGCTTCTGCGCTTGCACGAGGCTTGAATTATATAATGTTAGGGAGAAGAGAATGGGAAGGTTCGACATTTGATCTTCTATTTTGACTCACTGATTTGTCACGTGAGCATGATCAAAGAAAAACATTCATTCTTATCAGTGTTTGATGAGAATAGAATGCAAAAAAATGACATGTGGAACAAGGAAATTTTCTGTACTTTCTCCTTTGCAAGGCATTCACTTCTTATTTTATATTTCAACCAAAGCAACTCCTCAACGCTTTAGTATTTTGGCTAGAAATTGCTTGCAGTCCGATGACGTTCACAATTTACAAACACAAGTCTGTTTTTCTGCGCGCAGGTTCTCAAAATAAGCTTATAAGCTCAAAAAATTCTCACAACATGAGTGTCTGCTTTTCTTCCGATAGTATTGTTATGTTGATTTATGTTTTGGTCATGGAACAAAATGTTTTCCACAATGGGGCATTTACAGGAGCAAAATTTTTTTTTAAATTCATTGTAAACTTAAAACTTATTGAGATGGAGGCTTTTATGACGTCTCTTTCGTAATACTTTATGTGTTTCTTGATATTTCCGTATAAACTGCTTACATCAACTTTATTGAACTTTGGCGTCATGCTCTTTGTTCACCATGAATGTCATTACACCATAAGTGGCTCAACTCATACTTTTACGACTCATTAGATATGTGTTATGCACATTCGTGTCGGTAAGTAGAAAGTAGATTGAACTTTTGCTTTTTGAATTCCAGTTGCTGTACAGTCGAACTTCTGAAAGGCTTTGATATATCTGCAATGTAAATATTCTTACTTTTGCTATGTGAAAGTACCTTTTTTCATCTTCACCTGATGCATGCTCTCATGACGTTAGCAACTAGGTATTGATGAAGTAAAGTTAGAGTTGATGGAAATGGTGCGATAAATAATGTCGAGTAATGGGCATGAGAGTGATGATTGAGAAAAAACTTGTTGTCCTTCATTGGTATCATGTTTTAACGACCTTGCTGCTGAATTCTCGGAGCAAAATTATGTGCATTTTCGAAATAGTTCTCAAGTTGATTCCTCGGACCTTAAACTCAGTTTTAGCTGATTTCCTTCGATGTTTCTCCACTTTTTTTCTGAGGAGCAAAATAGCCTTTATATCTACCAATCTACTCACTTCTCTGAATGTTTTTTGTGCGAGGAAGTTGCCGCTTGTTTCTCGCCCACTGAACACATGTTCTAATAATATTGAGTTACGAGAAAATGCGATCCGCATCCGACAATGATGTCCTGCTTCTTTGAATTCGTTCTGTTTCTTCTTAATCTTCCATCCATCTCCATATTAACGTTTAGATTGACTTCAGCATTCCCACAGAGTCACCCTCTTCTTTCATCTGACTTTTCAAATTCCGAGAAACCCTGGGTTACTATAGTTGTAGGGTGTATGGATGGTCTCCGAATTGACGTACTTGAGTTTGCAAGTCTTTTTTTATCAGGTCCATGCCACAAATGTATTTGGTTGTCCATATTGCGCATTTCCTGCCTCCTTTTTTCCTTTCACAACAATAGTAGTAATTTTCTAGGAGCAGCCGTTTCAAAATGTAGTTACAAAAAACGCACATTTTGTATGTAGTGCCTAAGTTCTGGAATGTCGTCTACCTTGCTCTCGTTCTCTTATGGTTTAGAGCAAAGACTTCAAAACCACGAAACGATGATTTCGAATCCTTCATTTACTATATCTTGAAGATTTCTTTTCTTCGATGTGCAAACTGGAGACGAAACGATGAACGTTGCAGCATTTAATTAGCAAACGAAAGCAAAGGGCTTATCACCTAGGAAACGTGAGGAAGTAGTCACATGTCACCTATCTTTTCGAAATGTTGCATGTTGAAAAATCGCAATAAGTTTTTGTTTTCAGCTTTTGTTATTGTTGGAGACAGGCCAATTTGTTTTGGTATGTAGATCTAGTTCCTTGTACCAGCATTAGGTCTGATAGCATTTGAATGAAAATTAGCAAGCAGCCAGAATCTCAAAAAAAAAATTTATTTTGCAATGTGCATTATGTGCTGTGCATGTGTTCCTTTCGTCTTTTTTGGACCAATGGTAAGCCAATTAACAGTTGATTAACATCTGAAATTTTAATGGTTCTGACATCTGAACATGTGATTTGCTAAACCCTTTGAAATTTGAAGCTCTTTCTTGTCTGTCCTAATTTTTGGAGAAGAGACCTTTTTGGGTGGCGAGCAAGGGGAGCGATAGCTGGTGGATGTCAATAACTCGCTCATACTTCACCGTCATTTTTGTCCATCTGCACACAGAAATTTTGGACATTTCCTTCTTTTTGCTTTTATCTAGACAGCAGCATCATATAGATTGTGTGTGCTTGAAAATGGGGTGTGAAAATCAGCTGGAAATGTCAAAAAAAGGTCTTAAAGGTGAAACTTCAAGTATTTTGAGCTTATTCCTGCAAGAACATCATCGAAATGCACCTACCGCCGGGATTTAAGCAAGACTTACTAAGTAAATTGAGTAGAGCATTAATTTCATGTCTACTATTTTTTACAAGTTCGTAATTTGCGTTGTGAAGGCAAATGGTGCATTGGCACCAGCGGCTGGCAATTGCTATCGTTCCTCTTGCACCACACCCGACCTTTTCAAGATCTTACAGCGAAAGTAGTCGCGACTGAAAAATTTTAAAGTTTCATTTAAAGACGCTAATGACACATGGGTGTGCAAGCGAAATTTGCACATAATTTTCCTTTTCTCAAAGCTGTTGGTCTGTGTTTTCTTTCACCCGTTTTCAAGGAAACTTCTTGACTACACTTGACAACAAGCTCAAAGCAAAATTGTTTTGAAGACATGTAGAAATTACAGAGATCAAAAACTAGATTTTTATCGATTGATTCGAATCGGAACGTTTGACTCGTCCGTATCGGGCCTAGAAAGGCGAACGCGTGGTGCAAGAGCTTATTTTGTCTTCTTATCGCTTGCGGTCACTTGCTGATACTCCATGTCGGTAACCAGAGGAGAAAGTGGAGTTTTTTCTTATCATCTGACTGATGATTTTTTCAGAAGCTTGCCTCTCTAGAGCCTGTTGCTCATCTCTCATTGCATCGATTCGGGCGCGCATCTCTTTGCCTATTCATTTGAAGAGATTTCTTTTAAGGGCGAGGGGGCGATGGTTATGCATGCATTGGTCTTCCCTGTGTTTTTCGTTGAATCATGCTTTTGATTTTCCGTTTTCGATATCATTTTCCCGTTTTGGTTTTTGTATAACTCGAATTTCTTCTTTTCGAAGCATTCAGCAACTATTTTTGGAGACTCGGCTCCACCATAAATTTTAATGACAAGCCCACTCACCATCGCTATCAATTCATTTATGATGTTTCGCAGTATTGAAGCACGCTAGTGCGGAATTGGTTTGCATTTTCTCAAGTCTCATGAAAATTTTGATGTTGTTCTCGGATGACTCCATATTTATGTATGTTATTTTCTGAGGAAAAATTAGGTTCATATGGATGCTGGGGAGTGAATATCATAATGTATTCTCTCCCTCCTCTATCCAACTAAACTTCAGTTACATGCCCACTCTCTTTAATTTCATTATTTTTATTATTTTCTTGTACTTTAGAACTTTTTTCCCATTGTAGTCTCATCCTTCCCTTTCCACTGTTTTTTTTTACTCTTTAAATTTCATTCCTTTTCTATTGAATCCTGTGTTTTATGATTATGCGGTTTGCTCAAATTCCGCTGCTTCTCTTTTAACATCACGCCACTGCTTTCGCAGTTATGCATTTTCATGACTTTAAGTGTCACATTTTTTAAATGCCCCTCCCTCTGTTTCAAAATCGGCTTAAAATTCCATCTACATGGTCTGTGTTTTCATTTATTCACATACTAATAAGCTTAGTAATTGCTGCATAACTCATTATTTTGCGAAAATGTTTTGATGAACACACTCTCCCAAACTCTAATTGTTTACGCAGTCATCTCTCTTACTTACTTTTCGATTTCATTGATCTCGTTTTCTAGTAAATGGGTGTGTCGACGCTAATGAATCTTTGACTTTCTTCAACCTTGTTGGGTAACCACATTGAATTTTGCCGCATGAAATGGTGTTAACTGGAGTAACTTACCTCATAGGGAGTTCTTATAGGGGATTGATTTTGTCAGAGAGTAAATCTCGTTTCCTGATTTGGTACGATCCGATTTGTTTTCATTCTCTAACGAGAACAAAGAGGTTTTTATGTGAAATACTGAAGTTGCTGAAGGGGGAAGAGGGGGGGGGGGGGAAGGAGGGGAAGTTTGTATTTTGACTTCTAGAAACCAAGCGCAAATTCAAAAACTAATTTTACAACAACACTGGAGGTTTCTTTCTTCTTGGCTGTCAGATCAATGAAATGAAATTACTCTGGGGACAAGGTTTTTTTTTGCAAAAATAGGTATCGTCATTTGGCCTTCTCGAATACAGTTTCATCCCGCAAAGTTCCATTTTTATCTCCCTTGCATTCTTCGCAACTTTCACCATTTTTCACAAAATTTTCGATCATTTCATGCTCTCTTCCAGAGTTCTCAACCCCTGAAAGATCTTCTGACAAATCCTGGCTCCAATCAGCCGTCGCAGCTACGATCCTATCGAGATTTGGTCTTGCGCCAGAGGGCGCGAATTGCAATTCGACACTGCAACCGTGGAGGCGTCATCGTTCACTATGCGAATAGGTGATTTGAAACGAGCCGTCGAAGATGTGATACTCAGGCCGGATCAAAACACTCTGAACGATATCGATAAACGCGATACTATAGCTGCGCTGGATTTATGTCAGGTTGGAGAAGCTTGAAGGCAGCGGCTCGGCTTGGCAGAATGACAGAACTGGGATATTCATCGTTCTCGGTTCCCCTGGACGAGCTAAGTCCAAGACTATGCTTTGCAGCTTCAAAAGATATCAATAACCCGCTTTTCCAGACGTGAAAAATGCTACTTGGGTGGACCGCGTGTGCCTGCTCTCTAGAGCACGGTTGGCTCGTAGGTACGGTTGGTACAGTTCCTCTAATCACGAGCCAATCGCGCTTTAGAGAGCAGGCACACGCTCCGCCCAAGTAGCATTTTTCACGTCTGGAAAAACGGGTTATTGATATCTTTTGAAGCGCAAAGCACATTCTTGGACTTAGCTCGTCTAGGAGAACCGAGAACGATGAATATCCCAAATTTGTCATTCTGCCGAGCCGCTGTCTTTAGTCGGAAAAATTAGGATACAAAGTCAAAACCTCAGATTTTAGCCAGAACCATCACCACCACTGCCAACATGTACACCATCGGCTGCTTCAATGAACGCTTGTTCGTGTTCCAGTGAAACTGTGCCAGTGGATGTACCGCGTCCACCGCCTCCACTTTGCACTAGCACAAGTCTCGATACGATAGTGAGTATAGAGTTCTGTTTATAATTTTGTATTCTCATGCAGTCGAGTAGAGTTCCCGCTTAATATAGTGTGCTTGCACTGAAAGCGGTATAATTTGCGCGTAAACAATTAGGTACACCAGTGACGCCGGCCATTTGCGCGCGTAAAATGCTGGCATGCTGGGTGGCTATTTGTTCACGCGCAACTTTACCGCATTTCACCTGCAGTGTAAGCACACTATTTCAAGGTGAAAATCTGTACTCAACTGTAACTGGATGAAATACCGGGCGATGTCGGTGCGAAACTTTTAGAATGGCTGGGGGGGGGGAATGGGCAGATTTTTGACAGTATTCATCTGTCGCAACTCCTGTGTAAGAATTTCCGATTGTTTCGATCCTTATTTTCGTCAGTTACAGGTGAATCGTCCCCAGCCTGTGCTATATCGACATTCCGCTGGTGTGTCGCGACGTCAGAGTCGTGTATTGTCGTCTCTGCAATCGAGAAGAAAGCGGAGCAATTCGTTGACAAATTATCAGAAAAGGTGAGAAGAGCTTTGTCATTGTCTCATAAGAGATAGATAGAGTTGTGTTTGGTGTGAATCTTTTTTCCTTCCGCTTATTCTGTTTCGTTTGTTGTTTTGGCGTGTAGGCTTTATCGCGCGGTGTAAATTTTTTTTGAATGGCGCTCGACGTCTGAATCGATAAAAAGGTTGATGGATCAGTGTCATTATTTGCTTAAGTTTTGTAAATTTCAATGGCTATTGCCCACTTCAATGTGCATGACTGCATCCATATGTGCCTTCTCTCTTTTTTTCTTTTTTTCTCCGTCCTTGTTCAGTACCTAATTGACCCATTTCAGTCCTGGTACGTCAGTCTCGTTACCGCCATCAGCACGGCAAACGCCAATGCGATTTGGTGATGATGATGCACATAGGTAATTATCAGCACTTTGATGTTATTGATGTTTACAAAATTATATCTCGAGTATCTTAGGAGCTCGCTTGGCTCGTCGGACTCACATTCGTCCGTAGCTCGAAGCGAAGATTACTCTCAGGATTATGTAGCTGAGGAAGATGAGACAGTCATCTGTGAGTTGTGTTAAATTCGAATTTTGGTTTGTGTTTGATTTTTTCAGCACTTCAAATGTCTAAATAATTAAATAGTAAAATTCTGTCTTCAAAACGTTATCATGTTGGCGCAAATGCTGACCTACCCGATTCCCTGACTTTTTTCAGTCTGAAGTGGAACCATGCTTCTTGACTATATCTTGATTTTTTGTGTTTCCAGCTTACAGCCTTTATTCCGCGCTCATGTGCTTTCGATCATATGCATTTAGTTACGAAAAATCTAAGCAAAAAATACGTTGTGCTTGTAATCTGAGAGGATTTGATTTACCTTCAAAATTCGACATTCTATACTTATATATTTGGCTTAGTCAATATATTATTTCGCTTAGTCACTTTTTGTATCTTCGCTCAAAAAGGATAGAAGGAGTCATGAAATTTGAACCAAACTTGGGCGGACATAGTGTATGGGATGGGGCTTGTGTTGATAAGTTGTTTTGTTTGAGAGTTACCAAATGCCATCGATTTATCGATTTTTTGCAATTTTTGCTCAAAAAATCTTTTATGTTCGCCTAAACAGGATAAAGAAATCATAGAATCTGAATCAGATTTTTCAGACATAATGTATGGGATGGGGCTTGTGTTAATAACTCGTTTTTTTGGGAAACATGGATTGCTCTCATTGATTTATTATTTTTTTGTGAGTTTTGCTTAGAAAATCTCTCATGTTCGCCCGTAAAAAAAGAAGAAGCGATAGAATCTGAACCAATTTTGGCATACATAATGTGCAGGGTTGGGCTATGTTAGGGCCATTTTGTTCGGGACACACGGATTGCCCTTCTCGATTTATTGATTCTTTGTTGCGCGATATCCGTTGCTGAATTTAGAATGTTGAAGCAAAATATGACAAAGCCGAAATCATGTTCTCCGTTTTTCTTTCCTCACAATTTATAAATCGAAGTAACGTACAAAATAGCAAATCTTCACATTTTCGCAAGTTAGGGTAAAACGACCGGTTTACGAGGCAGCGAAGCTGCCCAGTATCAGTCGAACCTGTCGCGCAGCGGCAGAGAGCGGCTGGTATATTTCACTACGGGAAAATTGAAACTCGCTTTCTAGATTTTTCACTCTTGTATTGTTTTGTTTATTTAGGTCAGTACACTTCGCCAGAATCAGCACTGCCATCGACGCGATCTACAACAATGCCCGTGAATTTCAATCCTTATTTATCATACCGTGAGTCACGGGAAGACGAAGCTATGGAGTGCGATTAGCAGGTGAGATAAATAACATCTTTATCTTCGTAAAGTGCATACTTTTCTCTCGCGAAGATCTATCACATTGCAATAGAATGTATAAAATTTCTATTCTACATGTTGCTAGGCCAAATGCTCGCTGCAGTACATTACATTACAACTAATCGCTAATTCATAGATGAAATTTTCAGACTTATACAACGATCTTACGATTTCACAAAACCGGTGGAATGAATAAAGTGAACAGCGATACTTTTAGTCAACGTTAAGTTGTCTGATTCGACTGATAAAGTACACTTTAATAATCAGCTTCTTATGAAATCCTTTTAAATCTCATCCCAGCTTCAATTTTATTGTCGATGTTGTGATTATTGCTACAGTTCGGTTCATACTTGATTGACTCTATTTCAGAAGCTTTATCAATAATGAATGAACATGCCTTTCTCTCTTTCATTACGAAAAAATTGCTGTTTTTGATATACGTTTTATTTCCTTTTCCCAGTCTAGGAGTCATGTTTTCTAGCTTTTATGACACGATTTTTATTGATAGCTGTCACAAAGGCTCCACTGTGCTTATTAGAGCTCATTGTCCGGTGTATATGTCTAAATACTTTTTCAGTTTCTCAATGCTTCTATCGATTTCCATTGACTCATATTGTGTCATCGATTTTGATCCCAAATTTTCATTTAATTCTATAAGTTTTGGTCACAAATGGCATTGTAATTAGAGCAAGTCAATGATCTTAGCCCCATATGTGTCAGGAATACACCGGTTACATCAATTGTATGAGTAAATGTTCGTTTGCTATTTTTTTTTACGAATTTCTCGTTACGTTTTACTAATTTTGCATCATTTATCGTGCGCTGCAGTTCTAGTCATTATGAGAAGTTTACAATCTTGCCGTTCCGTTCAATAAATGTTCGCATCTATCTTTTCTATACTTTATCTATTGCTATGATTTTCCTGCTGACAAAATTTTTCCCGTTATCGGAACTTCAGCAATGGAAAATCATCTTGATTTCGGAGGAACATGAGAACCACTTTCCTACTGAGCCGCCATAACTTGGTTTTAGGTTCTGTATCGAAGTTTGTGACTTCCACAAAATGACGAGATGATATGTAGGTCTGAAAATGCGGTAGAAATGCAAAGAAGTGCTGCGAAGTATTAATCTGAAGATACAATAGAGAAACTAGAAAGAGCTTTTCAAAGACTTCTGGATGACTCAGAGAAATCCATCTTCTTGCAGTTATGCTGAAGCTACAAAATCTTGAGGTTAAAAATCCAAGCGCTGCAAAAGGTTACATACCTATAATTTGAGAGTTCGTAGAATGAATTAATGACTTGTTTTCTTTTTTGTCTTTGCCTTCACAATATGCAAATCAATCAAGAAATTCCGCAAATCAGACGAGAAACTTTCCTGGTTTCTTGTACTCTACCTCGATCTGATCTTCATCACTATTATTTTTCTTTTCATTCTGTATGGGATTGAGGGAAAAAGAGAGCATAAGGTTAGCATTAGGTTGAAACATAATTCTAGCACTAAAATAGGTATAAGATGGGGTAATTTATATTCCTCTTATTAGATAGGAGAGCTAGTTCTATAAGAGCCATTTGCTGTAGAAGGATAAAATCACGTTTGTACTTCTGAAGGCTTGTAGTAGTACACCTGCTAGTGTAAGAACAGATCAGCATGATTTAAAAAAACATGGAAGTCCGTTTCTCGAGTACTAACCGAATAAACGTACAGCAACTGCATATATAAATGCCTGATATGGATTGCTTGCGTGAGCAAGTAATATTTCGTAGCATTTATCTGAACTAAGTTGCGATTTTTTGAAAATTTTCTTAGGCTTTTCGCACGCATGAATTTTTTCTTTGGTATTTGTTTTCAAGTCGCTTTGAAGTTGATAATGTTCAAACCAGGGTCAAGCGTGCTGATGCGATCCGGGACCCTCATTTACCACCGTCCCCCCTCTAAAGGTACCCTTCCGTACGACCCCCCCCCCCCTCCTCCTCCACTTCCTTTTGCGTAACCTGCATAAACGAATGTCAATCTCAAAAGATGTCTGCCATGAACCTCAATCAAAATTATGGATTAGAGAAAGATAACTGCTTGAAAATTGGGAGATAATGCAGATAATGCTTCACCACTCAAAGAACAAATAATTCTATGTAGATTGGGTAAGTAAAATTTTCAAATTGGCTATCCTTATTGTATTTGGGAAAATATGAATTGAGAGGACATTATCTGAAAAAGCAGAACATCGGATTTGATTTGAATGGTATTTAAGCTGTACTCTACCTATAAAAATGAAATAAAATAACAATCAAAAAAAATTCAGCATTACGAAATGTTTCACTTTAGTCATTATAATTGACTATTTTGAAATAACTCCTTTTCTAGTGAAGGTTAGTAAACTCTTCTGCTGTTCATGAATGTTCGGCATAATCGTTTCGTGGCCCAATGGTACCGAAAGATTTAGACTATGATTCTGGAAATTAAAACGTTTTAGACTTTGATGACATTACCGTGTTCTATCCCCGTACGCGACAACATTTTTTTGCAGGAAGAACAAACGATATCTTTGAAGCGTAAAAATTGTTTTCGACTAAAAACTTTGCTTTCTATCTATTGCACAGATTTTCCTGCGAGAAAAACCGTTTTAGCGCCTTGCAGAACGATGTCAAAAACGTGCATGAGCACGGTACTTTGAAAATTCGTAACTAAAGTCAGGAAAAGTTTAAAAGACTCCAGTGAACAGTTTTTATAGCATGGTGCCCAGACAATTGAAGGTAGAAGTTGCAGCCACGCAGGAGCAGTCAGCTCGAAAAAATTTAGATGCGACTCTAGCAATTTTAGATGCGATCCTAGAAGCCAAAAACTGGGATTTTTGAGCTCAAAATTCCTTATTCACTGGAGACACAACGAAACAGGCCGAAATTTCTAGGAATGAAAATAGGAGGAAGGCGTCGTAATACAGCAAAATTGCAGCGAGCAGACCTTCATAGCGGCGAAGAAATTTAGATGCGACTCAGATACGACCCCCTTTTTCCATTTTTTGTTGCCATATATAAAATTTAAAAAAATCCACAGGCTATGAAATATAACCAGATTTTGTACAACGCTAGCAGAGCATCTCCAAAGTACAGGTAAATTGTATGGGCCCTTGAAATACATAACAAAAAGGTTTTAAATATTATCGATGGTCATCGCTGGCAGAGATGAGCGCTTTTGTCGAGAGTGTGAGACTTCAGTGATGCTTCAGAACCAGGATTTCTAGGCGAAGTGGTGCATTTAACATTCTTGTCCCACATACATGCCTAGTGTTTGAGCTTCTGAAAGTATCTTTGGAATCTGGTCATACTTGTAGCCAGCAAGTTCGATCTCCTTCTGCGACACCTTTTTTGCAGAGAGAAAAATGCTGTTTTTTGAAGAGTAGAGAATGTTTGTTTGTTTGTTTGTGTTTGTTTGTTTGAGAAGCTTATTTCCAACATTCCACACTTTTTATTCGGACCACCCTCTCTTAAGACCCACCCCCTCCACCGCGGGTGCCCCCTTTATGACCTCCCGTTGCGACAGTCGCATCATACGCTTGACTCCGATTCAAACACTAGCGCTAGCTTTGCTTTATCGAATGATTTATCAGGACCTAAGTAGAATATAAGTGAAATATAATATGCGGTTACATCTACTCTGGTGCTAGACTGTGTTTCAACCTACTAGTTCAAGAACACTTAAGCGACCGAGTATCGAACACCCATTTCAATCTTTTTGAAAGGAATGAGGAGCATTTGGCTACGACACAAAGCGTGCATTGATAGAGCTTTGTCTGCAAGGAATCCTGGATACCCTTTACTACTACTAATAAAGAACTGCAGCGGCTACCATATGTCTTCTCGCCTTCCAACACATGCTGAGAAAGCCTTTTTTTAAATCTCGGTTCATCTGGATTGGCTTGGTGAAGTGAACAGGCTATAAAATGATTAACAGCTTTTGAAAGGATTTTCAATGATTTTAGAAAGCTGCGTTGAAAGTTGCGATTCTGTGCTATAGATTACAACACATTTTCCTCAATTCAGACGTTGATCCTAACCTTCGAATCATCGTGCTCCTGAAATCGGTTGGTCGGTCACAACAGCGAGTAGTATCATCTTCGCAAGTTCTTCCCGTATTTCTCGCAGCTCGAATAATAAACAAAAAATCAAGTTTCTATCAATTGTGTGAAAAGCCTATTTTTGCGGGGCTCCTTTGCGCATAAGATGGAATCTTTAGACGGCTTCGAATGTTCAGTTTCACCATCTTTTTCTTACTAACCGTCCCAGGGTTCTTCCTATTTTCCAACACTTTTACCGTTTACATCTTCAAATGCTCCAGCTATATCGGCATTTAGTGTGGAATGGGTTTGATCATTTGCTCTACTCGATCTGTTTGCCTTCTCATAAATCCGCCCTTGAGATGGTACCCATAAGTCACCTCAACTGCAGCTTGGATTCTGTGAAGGACGTCTTTGTAACAATCTCTCGTACATCTGCTTGACGAACTCTCTCGAGACTGCCCCCGTTCCTGATCTTGCGTAGTCTATCGTGCTGAAATACCCTCCATAATCAGTCGCTAAAGTACCTCCATAATTAATCGTAGCTGTACGTTTGTGACAGCTGGCTATAATGGCTTTGAGGGCTCAATCTTCTTATACCAGCTGCACAGGTTGCCAGATCCTTCTCTGCTTCTAATTGTAAGTTACGTCTGATGCGTCAAGAACGCTACTATTAATCTAGGTGCAAGCGACGAAGGGTGCGAAGGAAGGTGGAGAGATGCGGCGATAAACCCACTGCCTCCTATACCTGAATCACAAGCCACATGAACCGAATAGTGCCGTCTACACGAATTTTCGCGTTTTCGCGACCTACATCTTTTCCATTCTCAAGCGATTGAATAATAAGCGCCAAAAGAATAATCTAATCATTTCCCAACGCCGTGGCTTGTTCGCGATAAATGCAACACAGGTGAGATCAAAATTTCAGTCAGCGACAAAAGGGGATAGTTCGTGGTGCTTTTTCGTGAGTTAAACATGGAATTGCAAGCATCTGATGGATGAAACTACATATCAGCAGTCTAGCGCCGCTGAGGTCGCCAAACAATACCGTCGTCTGAATAGGATCTGGATAGTTAGTGCTCGCTCTGCGGGGTTACCAAAGAGTATTGCTACGCACCTCAAAAGCGACTTGCCTATCTGTACCGCCCTGTACACGCTAATAAAGACCCACAAACTTCCTGCCACAGGACCAGCATCGGAAATCCTTTCGATTTCAAAGTAGAGGCTACTGCATGACGAAGGCGCAGAAGCGTTATTGGATAAGCGGGCGCGAACGCGGCGCGCGCGTATCCTCACCGTTGTAAATCCCGCGCCTCATGCGCTCTGTGGCTAATAAAGCCGCGTTCGCGCCCAAAGATATTGCGCCTTCGTCATGCGGCAGCGTATAAGACCAATTATAAACCGCATTGCAGGCCTCACCAACAGAATCGCTTGGTTCTTCAACATCAAACTTGTACAATTACTAAAATATGTCTCCGCTCATTTATCAAACACTAGCATGCTTCTAGAGCATTTCCGAAACACAAAACTGATCCCAGATTGCATAATGGAATCATTCGATGTAACGTCTTTGTATACGAATGTATCGTATGATGCGGCAATGCAAGCGATTTACGAACTCCTCTTAAATCATCAAAGCTTCCTAAACCTGTACGCTTCAGTCTCAGTAGCATCATGACCCTTCTAAGCGAATCTTTAAAATGTTCCATATTTAGGTGGTCAGGTCATTTCTGTAAGTAGGTCCGGGGTTTAGCGATGGGACAGCGATTAGCGCCAACTCTAGCCATTGTTTTTATGGTCAAAGTGGAAACTCCTGTGCTTTCGAGGGAACCA